ATTATTATTATTATTATTATTATTATTATTATTATTATTATTTCTGAACTAGTAGATGCCATGTTACCGCGCGCCTGCTGAGTAACAGACCACATAAGACGTCAAAAACGTGATAATAACATCAGTGAAACATTTGCCTAACGGCTCGTGTGCCACTTTTTCGTTCTTACCGCATTTTGACGTCATCTGTGATCTATCGCTTAACAGACGCACAGTGACATGGAATCTGTCTGTTCTATTTTGTAAAGAAACATAAACAAATCGTAATTACAATGGACCTCAAAGGTACTAAACTAACGGATCCCTTTACAATTGCAGAGGATTCGGTTTTCTGTATGGAGAAAGATGACATTCGCTTACAGCCGATGTGCTGTCACTTCCTGAGTAACTCGCCGTGTGACATTCTTCTCGGCGCAGAGGAATGTACAAGTCCATTTGGAACGTACGAAATCTCCATGCCGATAGACAGGAAAGCCCCTTGTGAAGGCAGTGACTCGAGACTAACAAATAAAAATTGCAAAGACTTTGATGTGAGTTTCGAGTTGTATACGAATACGTACATAATGTTAATTGTTAATTGAATGCAAAAATGATAGTAATACTAAAACACTGCTTAAAGAAACACTCAGTTTGGCTTAGCGTCAATGTCAAAATGGGGGAATTCCAAATGGCATAGAGAAATAGTTGACACAACAAATAAACCACTCGTCTTGCCGAGCATCCTGAGGGCTATCTACCTAACGTAAAACGAATTAGTATATGAAGCGATATGTCTTATAACATCATAAACCAAATGGGGCATTCCTCTCTTTCGTCTACCACTATGAGGGAATGTGTTTGCTTTGGTCAGAGAGTTAGACAAACATAACCGTAAATAATTATAGCCTACGCGGCTACTCACCTCCCCTACCCCCCAAACCCGCCATCACCACCACCCCCAAGGAAAGACGTTTTTCATCTGGGACACGTAGGCTACAATTATTAACTCCTTTACGTTTTCCGCCACCAAGCTAAGGCTTACATATGTTAGCTAAGCTCAATTATTGTTATGGAGGATACATTAATCCCTTGTAGAGCTTTTGAACCAATGGAAATCGGACCAGAAACAAAACAATGCAAAGAGAACATGGTTCGATCTTTCATTAATGGACTCCACTTTACACCCTTTGAACTGATTCAACAAGCACGCAGGAGTATAAGTGCTTTATTTATCCTTGTTCCTGAAAGCCTTGGGGTTGTATCGACGCTGCAAAAAGACATGTACAGTTGTGCCTTTTTCTTTTCTTCATCGCTTTTTATTCTCGTTCTTTTTCTTCACAGCGATCCAAGTATACTAAGATGAACGTGTGGATTCATTATCTGTACTGGAGCGACAGCTACCCCACAGGGCCAGACGATCCGAAATGTGGGAGCTTCAAAGCCGCCAGTCCTGAACAAGCCACTCCTGACTACTTTAATTCTTAAACCCTAAGGAAGCATCTGGAACGAAGGACAGTGATGCCAAAATTCTCACTAAGTTATTAAAAAGAAAATAATAAAGTAATCTTTGAATTTGATTGACTAATTTCGCGCTCGCTCCAGCGGTCCGGACTTTCCCATCCCCACCCTGACTACGGACCGCTCCGAAATTTCCAACTTTGGCAGCTTTTCAAGCTTTTTGTTACACTATAAAAAAAAATTAGAATGTAAAAATTCAACACGAAGCCAAACAATTATGAATTCCGAGAACAAAAATTCTGCAAACAGTAATGCTTTTGTCAATGGCTTTGGTCGATCCGTATTGTGCCCTCTGTCTTGAGTACGGGTAACTTATATTTGCGGCCTGGTAATGAAATGATGTGGCTGGTAAAGTTATAAATTGACACCATGGCGACTAATAAATAAACTAGCTTGTTGCTTTTTCTCGACTTACCGTACTTAACGTCCACTCTGTTCATTTTACAACTTGGACTGTTGGAATTGCAAGTTTTTGTTTTTTGTGTGTGTGTTTGTTTTGTTTTGTTTTGTTTTGTTTGTTTGTTTATTTGTTTGTTTGTTTGTTTGTTTGTTTGTTTGTTTTTTGTTTTAGCCAGGTTTTAATGAAGCAAGTATTTCTTTTATTGGACTGGACAGCTTTTTACCATCCTCGGAGACTCAGGGGCAGTTAGTCTGGATGGGGGAGTACAAACATCAGTTTTCAGTTGTCCACAGTTAAAATTTTGGGCCATTTGTCAGTTGTCAGTTACGTGGCTGTTACTAGTTTACTTTACGTAAATGGCTCAAACCTCTCTTAGTTGACCCCTTTTATAGAGAATACAGTCGAATCTCTCTAAATCGGCCACGTTGTGGAGAGACGAAAGTGGCCGTCGTAGAGAGGTGGCCGTTATGGGGAGCTATGGTTGCAATATGACACCTGTTTTTCGGGGAAGCAACAGTTTAAAACTAGTGAGACAATCTCAGATAGTGCAGAGTGTAATGCATAGCTCTGACGCAGTACTCATGACACAGTTCCTATATAACCCCTGCCATTCATTCCTGGTTTGTATTTACCTTGCTAGTCAGCTAGGGATTTTGATGAGACATAATCTTAGAAGTGCGTATGTTTGATGTGTGTATTTTCGTTCACAGTCCAAGAATAACTTGCAATTAATCACCGTTTGTCAAGACAGCTCTCGAATTTTACTGTAGTATTTTACGTTGATTTTTGTTCATTTTAAATTAAGTAATACATTTAAGTTGCGAGCGTGACAATTTTACTCTTCACGAAAACGTTTGTAACTTGATTCTTTTGTTTTCCTCGCAAAGGTATGTAACCTAAAACTCTTGCTTTCTCGAAAACACACGGAAGATGGAGATAAATGGAAGAAAGTTGAATGTCGCATGAAGAAATGGAAGAGGAACGATTTGCTTTATTTAAAACGCAAATTTTCTTTTGACCGATAAACAGGAACTAATCTAATTATCAAATTGTCACGGAACAGCACGTTCTGTTTCCCCCCTTGGCGTTAATAATAAAACTACTTAAATTGAAAATACACACTGATATCGATTAATAGAACTGAGCGGCGTTTCAACAAGAGGTATTGAAAGTAAACAACGCTACTTGACCGAGATTATATCCTTCATCGGTGAACGATTCCCCTCAAAGACTGATAAAATTTATGCTTT